AGAGTACTGTATACATTAGATGTTTTTTTGTTACTAACCAAAAGTCACCAAGATTTGTATTGAGAGTACTGTATACATTAAATGTTTTTTTGTTACTAACCAAAAGTCATCAAGATTTGTATTGAGAGTACTGTATACATTAAATGTTTTTTTTTTGTTACTAACCAAAAGTCACCAAGATTTGTATTGAGAGTACTGTATACATTAAATGTTGTTTTTTGTGACTAACCAAAAGTCATCAAGATTTGTATTGAGAGTACTGTATACATTAAATGTTTTTTTTTTGTTACTAACCAAAAGTCACCAAGATTTGTATTGAGAGTACTGTATACATTAAATGTTGTTTTTTGTGACTAACCAAAAGTCATCAAGATTTGTATTGAGAGTACTGTATACATTAAATGTTTTTTTTGTTACTAACCAAAAGTCACCAAGATTTGTATTGAGAGTACTGTATACATTAAATGTTGTTTTTTGTGACTAACCAAAAGTCATCAAGATTTGTATTGAGAGTACTGTATACATTAAATGTTTTTTTTTGTTACTAACCAAAAGTCATCAAGATATGTATTGAGAGTACTGTATACGTTAAATGTTTTCTCCCTTATATTTGATTAGGTACTAGACACCCCTGACTCATGTTTTAAATATCCCTGATTAGATTAGGTATTAGACACCCCTGACTCATGTTTTAAATATCCCTGATTAGATTAGGTATTAGACACCCCTGACTCATGTTTTAAATATCCGTGATTAGATTAGGTTTTAGGCACCCCTGACTCATGTTTTAAATATCCGTGATTAGATTATGGTTTAGATGTCTCTGACTCATGTTTTAAATATCCGTGATTATATTAGGTTTTAGATGTCTTTGACTCATGTTTTAAATATTCGTGATCAGATTAGGTTTTTTAGACACCTCTGACTCATGTTTTAAATATCCCTGATTAGATTAGATTTTTTAGACACCCCTGACTCATGTTTTAAGTATCCGTGCTTAGATTAGGTTTTAGATGTCTCTGACTAATGTTTTAAATATCCGTGATTAGATTAGGTTTTAGATGTCTCTGAGTCATGTTTTAAATATCCGTGATTAGATTAGGTTTTAGATGTCTTTGACTCATGTTTTAAATATCCGTGATTAGATTAGGTTTTAGATGTCTCTGAGTCATGTTTTAAATATCCGTGATTAGATTAGGTTTTAGATGTCTTTGACTCATGTTTTAAATATCCGTGATTAGATTAGGTTTTAGACACCCCTGACTCATGTTTTAAATATCCGTGATTAGATTAGGTCTTAGACATCTGACTCATGTTTTAAATATTCGTGATCAGATTAGGTTTTTTAGACACCTCTGACGCATGTTTTAAATATCCCTGATTAGATTAAGTTTTAGATGTCTCTGATTCGTGTTTTAAATATCCGTGATTAGATTAGATTTTTTAGACACCTCTGACTCATGTTTGATATATCCCTGATTAGATTAAGTTTTAGACACCTCTGACTCATGTTTTAAATATCCGTGATTAGATTAGGTTTTAGATGTCTCTGACTCATGTTTTAAATATCCGTGATTAGATTAGGTTTTAGATGTCTTTGACTCATGTTTTAAATATTCCTGATTAGATTAGGTTTTTAGACACGTCTGACTCCTGTTTTAAATATCCGTGATTAGATTAGATTTTTTAGACACCTCTGAGTTGTGTTTTAAATATCCGTGATCAGATTAAGTTTTTTAGACACCTCTGAGTTGTGTTTTAAATATCCCTGATAAGATTAAGTTTTAGACACCTCTGACTCATGTTTTCAATATCCCTGATTAGATTAGATTTTTTAGACACCTCTGACTCATGTTTTAAATATCCGTGATGATATTAGGTGTTAGACACCTCTGAGTTGTGTTTTAAATATATTTAATACGATTTAATCATCTCACACTTAAAATTATAATTATTATATCTTAAAATCATCTATGTTTGTATTAAGTAACTGAACAAATAATTGAAAAGGAATTTCAAGCCTTTTTTTTTAATGAGTCAAGGTGTTATTTCACTATTGTTAATTGAAGTAGGTCTGTTGATATATTTATTTCAAATATTGTCAATAACTTAATTGTTAGTTGTGTTTTTGTCTAATTGATTCTTAAACAGTGACATTGAACTTGAAATGATTAATAAAGTAGCAATATTCCATGCATGTCTTGAGCCCATCAGAGACCGAAACTATTACTTTCCTGACATCTGTCGAACATTATTGAAACTATTCATTATTTTTACCAACAGAAAGTCGTTTGAAAGGAGGTCAATTTATATTGTAACTTTACAGACACCCACCTCCCCCAAACACATCATGTTAAGACTATTAGAACAATACACGTAAACTGGTTTTTCACAACTGTTATAGCAACGAATTTTTTATTTTTTTTAGAATGAAAATCTACCGAATTTTATTCACAAAAATGATTACAAAAGATAAAAGAAAATGTCAAAATATTCTTTAAAAAATCCAATTTCACTTAAATTCTGTTAATTGTATTAGTACACTTAGGGCTAATTTTAGACAAATGTTTTATTTTACTACCATTTTTTACTAAACGACTCTATGATCAATCATTCAGCCAAGAAAAACGTAGAACCATTTCTTTTCTTATGTGACGAACAGGTTGCCTATAAAAGAAATATAAAGTCAGGATTCTTTGTTGACAAAATATATTTTAATTATTTCTAAGAAATAATTGTTTTCTGAAATGGATATACACTAAGTGGTCACAAGTAAATAGACACCTAATTTTTCGTCATTTAACTGATTTATGCTAACTAATTTGTGTTCACAGAGCACTATTTAAATG